GAGTTCAAAGAAACATAGGATCAGTATCTGGATCAGATTTAAAGTACAGTTGGAATGGCAGGGGAGGAGGCATTTAGCCTAGTGGTTAAAACACCCTGCATCCCATATTGAAGTACCTCGGTTTGACTCCTGTCTCTGGATTTTGACTGCAAGTTCTTGCTAATGTAGCCCCCAGGAAGGCAGCCCCAGGGAGGCAGTAGTGCTCGCTCAAGTAATCAGATTCCTTTTACCCACATGGGAGATCTGGATAGCGTTCCCAGCTTCAGACTGGCTGTTGTGAATCAGCAAATAGAAAACTCTCTTTCCCTGTCTCTGTATCTCTCTCTGCCTCTCAGATAAATTTTTAGAAATACACAGAGTAGGCCGGCGCCGCGGCTCACTAGGCTAATCCTCCGCCTTGCGGCGCCGGCACACCGGGTTCTAGTCCCGGTTGGTCGGGGCGCTGGATTCTGTCCCGGTTGCCCCTCTTCCAGGCCAGCTCTCTGCTGTGGCCAGGGAGTGCAGTGGAGGATGGCCCAAGTCCTTGGGCCCTGCACCCCATGGGAGATGGGGGAGACCAGGATAAGTACCTGGCTCCTGCCATCGGATCAGCGCAGCGCACCGGCCGCAGCGCTCCGGCCACGGCGGCCATTGGAGGGTGAACCAACGACAAAGGAAGACCTTTCTCTCTGTCTCTCTCTCTCACTGTCCACTCTGCCTGTCAAAAAAAAAAAAAAAAATTAAAAAAAAAAAAAAAGAAATACACAGAGTACAGTTAGAGCACCAGTTTGGAAATCAGTGGTTCTGAGGTCAATCCAGCACCTTGGAGAGCTCCCTTAACACCCAGATGGGGCAGAGTAGCACCCTGGACAGAACCACAGTCTTCCCGTTTCCTGCTTTAGACCTCTGTATTTGGATGGCAGTATAAAAAGGCCTTTCAGCCCTGGGTGCCTGGAGATGGCAGTCCCCTCAGTTCCATCAGTCTTACAGAAGGCTCTCTATGCTGAGAGGGACTGGGATTCTTTTTCTTCCTTCCAGGGGACTTCAGCATCAGAGCTGATAATTGGACTCTCTCGGGTACTCTGTGGGATTGGGTCCTAGGATCACAGGATTATTCTTGAGGTCAGACTCCTTTAAGTTGGGAAGAAATATGGTTTGCTATGTAAAGAAAGACATTCCGAGTTCTTTGTGTATGAAGAACTTTCTGTGTAAGAAGCAAGCTGTTGGCCAGCGCCGCGGCTCACTAGGCTAATCCTCCGCCTTGCGGCCCCGGCACACCGGGTTCTAGTCCCGGTCAGGGCACCGGATTCTGTCCTGGTTGCCCCTCTTCCAGGCCAGCTCTCTGCTGTGGCCAGGGAGTGCAGTGGAGGATGGCCCAAGTGCTTGGGCCCTGCACCCACATGGGCGACCAGGAGGAAGCACCTGGCTCCTGGCTTCGGATGCGCCAGCCGTGGCAGCCATTTTGGGGGTGAACCAATGGAAGGAAAATCTGTCTCTCTGTCTAACTCTGTTGAAAAAAAAAAAAAAAAGCAGCAGCAGCAAGCTATTGTGCATGTGAGAAGGCATGCTGTGATCACTGGGAAGACAGGAGGAGAAAGGTCTTCTATCCAGTAGTTCACTCCCCAAATGGCCACAACAGCTGGAGCTGAGCCGATCTGAAGCCAGGAGCCAGGATCCATTTTTAGGTCTCCCATGTGGGTGCAGGGTCCCAAGCACTGAGCCATCTTCTACTACTTTCTCAGGCCAAACAGAGAGCTGGATCAGAAGTGGAGCAGCCAGGACTCGAACCAACGCCCATATGGGGTGCCGGTGCTACAGGCGGAAGCTTAGCCTACTATGCCATGGTGCCAGCCCCAATGCAATTTATTTCTCCACACAGTAGATTGAGTGATCTGTTCATGTAACTCAAAATATCAACGAGTAAAAGAAAAGATTGTTATATTGAAACATCCTTGAGCTCCTGGAATTATCTCCAACCAGACTTTTATTGCTTCACCGCAATTTTGAAGAAGAAGCAGAAGTACCATCCTTAATCTGTCTTCTTAAAATTGGAAACATCGAGGCCAGTGCTGTGGCACAGCGGGTTAACACCCTGGCTTGAAGCACCGACATCCCATATGGGCACCGGTTCGAGACCCAGCCGTTCTACTTCCCATCCAGCTCTCTGCTATGGCCTGGGAAAGCAGTGGAAGATGGCCCAAGTCCTTGGGCCCCTGCACCCACATGGGAGACCCGGAGGAAGCTCCTGGCTCCTGGCTTCAGATCGGCACGGCTCTGGCCATTGCAGCCAATTGGGGAGTGAACCAGTGGATGGAAGACCTCTCTCTCTCTCTCTGCCTCTCCTCTCTGACTCCTACGAGATGATCTGCTTTCTGAGCCTAAAAGTGACATCCATCAAGTACTGCAATGTAATCTCCAAGTGTAACTGCCAAATCGTGGGGACCATTTTCCTATCTAAGAAAGAGAAGCCTATGTAAGGTGCTCATTTTGGAAAACAGTGGAGATCAGAATCAGGGCAATGCAGAGAAGGGCCCATGGCAACATTTGGTGTCATGATCCCAGGCAAAACACACATCCTACTCCCAGTGGCAGACACAGAAGAAGGTTCTACCCAGAAGTTGGGGCTGAAGCCGCTGGAGCATGTCAGCAGCAACTGCTTTTCGCTCCCCTCCTTTGTGCTGAGTTTTGTGCTCCAGCTGAGAATAATGAACAAGACAGACACAGTCCTTGTACCCTGAAGCTACCAGAGAGGACAGATACAAACCACTGCCATTAAAATATACAAATATGTGAGTACTGACGAATATGAGGTGCTGTGCTGGCACGTTACTGCAGAGGGGACCCACCTTATTCTGGTGGTTAGGGCAGTTTTGCTTGCTAGGGGATATGGAATTTGAACGGACACTTCTGGTGATTGTAAAGATGGAAGGTAGGAATAGGAAGGGGCAGGCATTCTGGGTTTAGAGAACAACACGCTTAGCAAGTGGGACTGAAGAGAGAGGGAGATGTGAGGGGGCCTGCCACCACCATTCAGTGCAGTAGCACTGGGGGGATCAGAGGTGTAAAGAAGAAAGGGTTGGGGGGGTTAAGAGTGGTCCAATCCAGTGGCCTTTAAAGCTGTCTCCCCCCTCCTCCAGAGCTCATTCTGGAATTTTATGGGAGGTATTTGTTATGCTCGGCACAGCTGATGAGGTTGATGGCAGCACTGTGGGTGAGACCAGGCGTGCCACAAATCCCACAATGCACAAGATGGTCTGGCCTTATTGAAAAAAAAAAAAAAATCCAGACTTCCAAATGTCTTGTTGGTCATTCATGTAGGTGAAAATCCCATTTATAAATCTAGGACTTAACACAGTTCATTTTTGCACAGTTCTAACACATGTTGATGTTCCAGAATATAAGTAATACATAATCAAGAGATCACACTGTTTAACTCAGATCTTTACTGAAAACTGCTCACCATTTTGGATCACACTTTTGTGGTTTCTGAAACACCAACGTAAGACATGGTTTTGCAGCTGTGGCATTCAGTCAAATTCTCTATGTAAGGGCAAATATCTGGGCACTTCACTAGCTCTCCTATAGCAGTCACCATTCAGCACTTACATATCTTAGTGGTATGTGTTTTTTAAAATTACAAATTATGGGGTCTGGCGTTGCAACATATTGGGTAAAACTGCCGCCTGCTATGCCAGCATCCCATATAGGTGCCAGTTCCATGTCCCAGCCAGCTCCCTGCTCATGCCTGGGAAAAGCAGCAGAGGATGGCCCAAGTGCTTGGGTCCCTGCCACCCACATGGGAGACCCAGATGAAGCTCCTGGCTCCTGGCTTGGGCCTGGCCCAGCCTCAGCCATTGTGGGAGTGAACCAGTGGATGGAAGATCTCTGTGTCTCTCCCTCTCTCTCCGTAACTCTTTCAAATACATAAATAAGACTTTTAGAAATTACAAGTTATGTTTTATTTCTACGTTACCTTTAAGGTCTAGCAGCATTAGTTTTAACGCCAAGAAGAAAATGCGTATTAAGAGACGCTCATTTCCCAGGGGGCACGGGGTTTGCCAACGGTCCAGTCTACCTGACTGCTCCTGCAGCTTTACCAAGATGCAGGTTCCCGGCGCCTCTGGCTTGGCGCTGATTCTTGCCTTCCCCGTTTCCCTCGAGGAGCAACGGCTCCCGCAGGTCAGACATGAGAGAGGGGCGAGGGGTGCAGGGGTCAGTAGGCTGGACGCGGCCGCAGGGGGCGGGGCGAGGATACCAGCGAGAGCCCACGACCACGCTCCCAGCGCGACTCGGGGCGCACCTGCTGACGCACTTCCGGGTGCGCCGCGGGTCCGCCGGGTGCGGAGGTGAGTGTGGGGCTGCAGACGCCGTGGGCGGTGCCCTAGTCCCAGGGCGGCAGGTGGGCTTGGGGCGCGCGTCCGCTCTGGGTGGCGCTGGGTGTGCGGTGGCCCGCGCTGGCCGGGAGACCGAGCTTGCCGGAGCGAGTAGAGGGTCGGCCCCGACGCTCCTCGGCTCGCGTTTGGGTTTGGTGGCCGGTTACCTTCCGTCCTGAGGTAGTAGAAGCACCCGACGGCCACGGCCACGAAGCTCCGAGCTTTCAGCTCTGGGTCTGTTCCGGGAAGACGTGGTGGCGCAGCCCGAGGGTGGGCTGTCGGCGGGGTCGGAGCGGCCCGCGGTGACGTCGCACGTCAGTGGCTGGCTGAAGTCGCGCAGGGATCGGCGTCCGTGCCCTCCGCGGTCCTGGCTCAGGGTCACGACGCGGGCGGAGCGGCGCGCGCCCATCCCTGGGCAGAGGCGGCCCTGGCCCTGGAGCCGCGTGGGGCGGGACGAGAGCTCGAACCTACGCGCCGTGGGCTGTGGGTTACCAGTGACGTGAGAGTGGCTTCCCCGGCGTGATTACGGACTTGCGGGCTTCTAGAATACACGGAGATACCAACACAATTTCTAGTCATTCTCCCGTGGAAAACAGGTTTTCTACCGGCAGTGCAGAGTTGGGTTCTGTTCTGATTTTAGCGTTATAGTCTGTGGTCAAAATCTTGTTTTCCAGAGTCCTGTAGCTCTTTTGCTTCACTTAGTGTGGCTCGGCTGATTTGCTGCTGTTTGTGTTTGGTTTGGGGTCCTGTTTGGTGTAAGGATGTGTATCTTCGTAAGATGCGTACTTTCTAACGTATGTGTATGAGCGATGTAAAAGCACCGTGAGTTCACCACCCACTTAGAGAGCATCACCCGTACTGCTGCGTCCGTCAGTGGCCCTCGTTCACCTGGCCCTGCAGGGGACAGCTTACCTAGAAGGAGAGTTAAGCGTAGCCTAAGTGTTTATGAAAAATTATCATGTACGCATAGATCTGTAAACATTGTGTTAATGGCATAATCTCTGGTCTTTTGGGACTTGCTTGATGTTCCATTAGTGAAAAAGATTTGAAAGATTGATACATTATCAGTAGTTTGTTTCCAGTTTTTTGCTATTAAAATAGTGCTGAAAATGAGTATTTTTTGTACGTATGACGTACATGAGTTTTTCTAGAGTATAGTTTTTTTGTTTGTTTGTTTCCACTTTGGTTTGAAAGGGAGAAAGATCTTCTGTTTGTTGGTTCACTGCCCAGAGGCCCACAGCAACCCGGGTTCAGCTAGACTGAAGCCAAGAGCCAGAACTCAAACCAGGACTCCCACATGGGTGGCAGGGGCTCAAGCCCCTGAGCCGTCAGCTTCTGCCTCCTGGGATGTGGATTAGCGGGAAGCTAGATGGGAGAGGGGCAGCCCGGCACTCCGGTGTGGCATGTGGATGTTGGATGCAGGAGTCTGGAGCGCTGGCCCACGTGGCTCTGCCGCTCTGCCCACCCCGAGGGTGTAGGGTTTAAAGTTAGCCCTGAATGCCAAATTCTTTTCAGATACCTTTGGCTTCTGTTGACAACAGTACTTGTATGTTTATCTTTCTTTTAGTTGTGAATGTAGGGAAAGTACTGGTCTTTATCAATATTGAGCTTTATTTGCATACATATGAAGATCTTAAGATCTTAGTCACTGTGCGTTACAACTGGAATCTATTTCTTACCATTTAGAATGTTTGCATCAGTATTTATAAATGAGATCCTGTCTGTGGTTTTTGTATTAGTGTTTTGCTGCCATAATAAGAATTGAGAACCTTATTTTTGTTGTGTTGTGCTGCAGTTTAAGGTGTTAACATTATTCATTTCTTAAAAATTTGGAAGGGTTTGTTCATGACACATCTAGGCCCAGCGTTTTGTGAGAGTTAGCTCTTTGTTGGCTGCCTTGGTTTCATTAGGTAAAAATAATCAAAAGATTACTTAGAAATCTATATAATGTAATTGGTAGGGTTTATTAGATTCAGCTGGAATTATACATTCTTCCAGCATAGAATAAATTTTCTTTTTAAACACCAGAGAATATTTTAAAAATTTTAATTTACTTTTCTGTGTACTTTTTTTAAATTTTTATTTGAGAAGCAGACAGGAAACAAGAGAGAGAGATACTGGAGATACTGATCCTCTGCTGGTGTACTCTGCAGATGCCCACAATTGCCAGGTCTGGGCTGAAGCTTGGCGCTCAGACCGTCTAGGTGGTGGCAGGAACCAGTTACTGTGGGGCTTCACCACTGCCTGCCAAGGTCTGCTCTAGCAGGAAGCTGGAGTCAGAAAGCTGGAGCTCATTTTCAGACCAAGTACTGTGCTCCGGCATGTGAGTGACTTAACCACTGGGTTGAATGCCCGCTCCAGACTATCTTTATAAATTGACACTTTAGCCAAACTCTGAAAAGTCTGTCAAGTAGAAGATAATAGATCAGGTTATTTAAACATCATGCAATAAAATCATAATTTATGGATAGAAATTAAAAACAGGTAACCCTGGGCTGGCGCCATTGCTCACTTGGTTAATCCTCCGCCTGTGGCGCCAGCATCCTATATTGGGGCCGGGTTCTAGTTCCAGTTGCTCCTCTTCCAGTCTAGCTCTCTGCTGTGGCCCGGAAAGGCAGTGGAGGATGGCCTACGTGCTTGGGCCCTGCACCCGCATGGGAGACCAGGAGGAAGCGCCTGGTTCCTGGCTTCGGATTGGTACAGCGCTGGCCGTAGTGGCCATTTGGGGAGTGAATCAATAGCGGGAAGACCTTTCTCTCTGTCTTTCTCACTGTCTATAACTCTACCTGTCAAATAATAATAATAATAATAATAAAAAGTCCTAAACAGAGATGATTAAAATAGAGTTTCTGACTGGCTGTAAAATTATAAATAAAATATGAACTATAAAAACCTCTGGAGCATGGCTAGTAGTGTATTCAGAGGAAAATTTGTGCCCTTTTGGACTTAAATTGCCAAATTGGAGGAGTGAAAATAAACGAGTAAATCATTCAACCTTAAGAAGATAGAAAAAAAGCCACTTGCAGAAGCAGCATATGGGACAAGGATCTGGTTCTGACAGTCTATTCAGGGACAGAGTGAAGGAGGAGAGTGAGAGAAGGAAGGTGAGCCTGTTAACAGAGAAACCTCAGACAGATAAAATTGAACAAAGTTTAAATCAACAAAGAGTGACCCGGGAAGTAGCACTGTAGGGTAGAGAGTTAAGCTGCTGCTTGTGACACCCACATCCCTTATCAGAGTACCCATGGCAGTGGCAGGGGCCCAAGCACTCAGGCCACCTGCTGCTTTCCCAGGTGCTTTAGCAGGGAGCTGGATTGGAAGTGGAGCAGCTGGGATTCAAACTGGTTCTCTCTCTCTCTCTCTTTTTAAAAATATATATTTATTTTATTTGAAAGGCAGAGTTATAGAGAGGTGGGGGCAGGGGGTGCCTTCCACCCGCTGGTTCACTACCCAGATGGCCTCAACGGCTGGAGCTATGCTGATCTGAAGCTGGGAGCCAGGAGCTTCTTCCGGGTCTCCCATGTGGGTGCAGGGGTCCAAGGACTTGGGCCATCTTCTACTGCTTTCCCAGGCTATAGCAGAGAGCTGGAGTGAAAGTGGAGCAGCCAGGACTCCAGCTGGCGCCCATATGGAATGCCTGGTGGCTTTTACCCGTTATGCCACAGTGCCAGCCCCAAACTGGTCCTCTTTTGAGATACTTGTTTTCAGGTGGCTGCTTAACCTGCTGTACCAGAGCACCGGCCCTGACAGTGTACAACTTGAAGACTGACTTTAGCAGCAGTAAAACATCAGAAAGCAGCCAGTTCATGTGTCTTTGAACACAATGACCAGGAAGCTCCAGGTGGTGGCACTTGGATGATATAGTGCTGTCTCAGAAGCTGAGTCAGAGTCCAGGCCTTGGCTCATTCACTTTCTGAAGGTTAGTGAAGAGGAGTAGATAGCCTGGTCCCTGGAGAGGCCCACCTCCCAAGATCTCTCTAGAGGCTTTCGGATTCTAGAGGGCACTCAGAACGCTGAGCAAACAGACCAGCTGGTGCCTCTCTGGGGCCTGGCTCCCCAGGGCGTGTGTGTGTGTGTGTGTGTTTGTGTGTGTATGGTGAGGGGAGTCATCAGCCCAGCCAGCCTGGCTTCTCCTACAGAGTAAATGAGGATGTTGTTTGTTTAGGGAAAGAGAAATGAGTCAGAGGTCTTGGTAGTGTTCTGTCTGGAACAGAATCATTCCTATTTGAGTCTTTATTCTCCTTTAGGATCTGCATATACTTTATAGATATGCTCTTTTGTATGTGTGACTCGTGACTGAATTGTTAATTTGAGATCCCTGGCGGTACCAGCGAGTGCTGAGCTGGTGTGGAGGTCTCTCCCTTCTGTTGGCACTCCCATCGGATGCAGGCTGCCTGTGGCTCGCATCTTCCGTGAGGGGTGTACTGCCCTGGTGGTGGTGGCTTGCCTCATGCTCACCTCTCTCTGTGTCTTCACAGCCCCAGCCCTTCCCTGGAGGGGAGACCAAGTGATGACAGCCATGCTCTTGACTGCCTGGCCCCAGGTGAGCGCTTCCTCAGACTGGGGAGAACTGAGAAGGGGTGCAGGGGAGCCTTGGGATGAAAGCTGGAACTTGTGGGAGACACTGGCATGGTGATGAGGAGGAGGGAGCAGTGAGCAGAGTTGTACAGCGTCTGTTTGTCATACAGACCCTTTGTGCATGGATGGTCTTTCTCCTTTGTCCAGGAGCACTCCCAACAAAGGGCTGTGGGTGAACGGAGATGTGGACGCTGCTCACGTGGGATACTGTGTGCATGAATGTGGATGGAGAATCACAGAGGACGTGACGCTCAGTGCCAGGGTCGGGGAAGAGGAGTAAGGGACCAGATGGCCGAGAAGCTCGACTGTCCCTCTGATTTGGGCAAAGGAGAAGATGATGGACAGTGAAGTCAGGGGAGAGGAATGATAGGAACTCTTACAGGACGGGATGTCCCCTGGTGTCCTAGTGAGGCGTTCAGTTCAGCTTGAGGTGCAAAGGCTCAGACTGTAGGTTTCGGATAAGAGCTTTTGAGCCTCTCCCCCAGAACACTAAACCCATAAGCCCAATCTTCTTACACGTTCAGGGACTTCATGGACCCCCGAGATGCATCCATGGACTCCAGGTTGGGAATTAGTAATATCGTTTAAGGCTGAGAATGCAGCAGGCCCCAGAGAAGCCCTTTGCATGCATTGCTCAGTCTGGACACGTGTCTCTGTGATTGGTGCTGTGTCCTACTTTATCAACCAGGAAAAAAAATGCAAAAGAATGGGGAGTAAAGTGACATGCCTGGAGTCGTAGCTACTGAGCTGTATGACAGCTCTGGTGACAGTGACAGAATGTGGTCAGATTTGTGACAGCTGGATCTGGTTTTTTTTTTTTTTTAAGGATTTATTTATTTATTTGAAAGGCAGAGTTGCAGAGGCAGAGAGAGAGAGAGAGAGAGAGAGAGAGAGAGAGAGGTCTTCGTCTACTGGTTCACTCCCCAAATGATTGCAGTGGCCAGAGCTGGGCTGATCCAAAGCCAGGAGCTTCTTCTGGGTCTCCCATGTGGGTTCAGGGGCCCAAGGACTTGGGCCATCTTTTGCTGCTTTCCCAGGCCACAGCAGAGAGCTGGATCGGAAGTGGAGCAGCCAGGACTTGAACCGGTGTCCATATGGGATGCCGGCACTGCAAGCAGTGGCTCTACCTGCTAAAGCCACAGCGCCGGATCCAACAGCTGGATCTGGAATTGTTTTCAGGAGCCTTCAAAAGCACCATTTCAGAAGGAAGTTCAGGTGATGTGGCCATCATCAAGGAAAGCAGTTGTTAAAGAGAAGGGATCTGATTCAAGTGGTGCTTATGGCATAACAGTCTTTAGTTTGTGTAGTCAAAGCATTAAGAACTGGAGTGGAGGCAAGGGAGAGGGGAGAGTCAGCAGTGGACCCCAGATTTCTAGGTGAGGTTCCCCTGTGAATTTTGCTGACACCAGCTGAAGTGGGAATTCGAGAAGAGGTGCCCACTTCCTAGGGAAAGGGGGTGTGGTAGCACACAGGGAAGCCATTTAGTTTTTTGCAGAGAAATTCCTTGACTTTTCTAAGGTCCCTCAGAAAGAACTCAGAAACACCTAGAAATGGGACAGAATTGTTGATGCGTAGTAGTCAGCAGAATCCAGGAAGACAGACCCTGCCAGGCTGGAGTGGGCAGAGCAAGAGCCAGGCAGGCTGCAGCTACCAGGGTGGTGAGATGGGCTGGGCAGGTGGGCCTGAGGGCCATGCACAGTATACCCCCGAGTGGCAGAGTTTGTGCTGACCATGTAGTTTAGTGATACAAAGAGGAGGAGTCGAAAGGGTGGCAGTGTAGCAGTCAGTGGGGAGGCTGTCTCCCTTCTTTTCTAAACCTTCTTAGAGAAACTGTGAAGGCTGGAGAGGAGTCAGAAAGAGTTTGGGTGGAACGGTGGAGGGCAGCAGTGAACACAGGAGCTTCAGGGAGGTGTCTGGCCAGAGCAGCGCTGAGCTTCCTTGGCTGCAGGTGCCTGAGTGGATGCTGCACCCCCCCTTGCTTGGGGCCAGAGGTGGAAATTGGGTGACAGATGGGGGCTGGATGAGCTGGAATCATGACCGTACTTTGGGGTGGCTTGTGGTGTGAGGGTGAGGACAAGGTATGGAGTAGGAGAGCTGGGACCTCAGAGCATGAAGTGAGAGTACTGATGGGTCCATCTGTGTCAGCAAGGGAAAGGTGTGTATAAAGGAGAACAGTTGCTGTAGGGAAATTTTCTTTTGGGAATTTTTTTTTTCTTGCAGCTCAGTTTGTGTTACTTTTAAGTGTGAAAAATGGCCTGAAGTTTCTTTTCTGTGAAAGAAGTCAGATACTCTGTGGTTTACTTTCTGATACTTTTTCTCAAGCCTCTCCTGTTATCAATTTTGTGCTCCTACAAGCTCCCTCCCCAATCCCTTATACTGCCCTCTGCCCCTCACCTAGGGCCTGAGCCATGGAATTGGCCCTAGGGCAGCAGGAACCTGTTGTTTCAGAAGTTGGTGACCTTTGAGGATGTAGCTGTGTACTTCACCCAGACGGAATGGGATGGCCTGTCCCCTGCACAGAGGGCCCTGTACAGGGATGTGATGCTGGAGAATTATGGGAATGTGGCCTCCCTGGGTAAGGCCTCTCTCTTCCTGGGACCTAGACTATGCCATTTGGGTTTTCCTGGTTTACTTTCCCATTAAAGGTGCAGGTGGGGTCTCTAGTAGTCCTTTACTGAGCAGGAACCCAAGACTGTTCCTAATCCCTTACTCTTAAAACCTGTTTATAAGGGTGAACCTTAAGCCCTTTTGGGACCAGTGTGAGACTCTGGTGGGACTGCTGTGCACTTGTTATCCACCCATGGAAGCGCTGTGATGGATTCTGAATATTGCAGGACAAGAGTAAAAGTGGTATTGGTTGGCAGAATCTATGTGTTCCTGGGCCCAATCTGGGCAAGATCTGCCTCTCCTACCACTTCCAAAGCTCCCTCACCTTTCATATGTACAACCTCCCCCTACCATTTCCCATAGTCCTTAGCCTTGGAACCCCTCGAGCTCTGACCTTCCCTCTCTATTGCTGAGTCAGTCTGAGAAGAGACTTAAAAGTCATCTGTGGGAGACTGTTCATCTGTCTTCTGCTTCCTTCCCCACTCCAGGATTTCCACTTCTCAAACCTGCTGTGATCTCACAGCTGGAGAGAGGAGGTGAGCTGGTGGTCCCATCCCCACTGACCCCTGGAGCAGGAGCAGGCCCCCAGGGCCTCTGGACCGGTAAGAGAGACTCGAACTGCTCATTATTTGGGGATGTTTAACTCTTGAGGAAGAAAGCCAATGTTAGCAACACATAAACCTGTATAGTCAGCCATACATACAAAATTTTCATAAATTTTGGTGATTTGTAAAGTTGGGTAGATGTTGTTTTGTTTTCACAGTTTGCTGTGTCTGGTTTCAAGAGCAGATGTTTTTTCAAATGCCTCATTTTCTTTTCAGTTCAAAACTTGGAGTCCTACTTTTCTCAGACAAAATTAATGGATTTGGTAATTTTTGAGGTCCTTGCCATTTTCTTTCTTTTTTAAAAGATTTATTTATTTGAAAGTCAGAATTAGAGGGAGGGAGAGTCAGAGAGAGATCTTACATCCACTGGTTCACCCCCCAAATGGCTGCAATGGCCCCAGGGCTGGGCCAGGCCAAAGCCAGGAGCCAGGAGCTTCAATCAGGTCTCTCATGTGGGTGCACGGACCTAAGCAGTTGAGCCATCTTCCACTGCTTTCCCAGGCACATTAGCAAGGAGTTGGATCAGAAGTGGAGCAGCTGGGACTCCAACTGGCACCCATATTGGATGCTGACACTGCAGACAGCAGCTTTACCCAGCACTCCACAGTGCTGCCCACTCCCACCCCCCATTGGCATTTTCTAAGCCTTGTCCATTTAATATGGAGGTTGCAGAATTAACGGCCTTTTAACACAGGAATATGGAAGTGGCTAAAAGCCTGGTTTTAGGATGGACTTTCCTGAGTTCTCATTTCTAGTTTTGTGACTTGGAGCAGGTCAATTTTGAGTTCAGTCAGATTCAATGTTCTTATCTCTGAAAATGGGATGATAATAATAATAATAAAAGGAGGCAATAGTTCTAGTCTTGGATAACAATACAAGTCTTTGAGGTTCCTGCAGTGCATCCTGATCTTAACTGGTGATAGAAATACTGATCTAGTCCTGTGTGTAGACTAATGAGGGTAAGAAATGAAAGAGACCCTAAGCAGACAGGGGGCGTGGCGGGAGGAAGGGACGGCGCGAGGCCTGTGTCAGCAGTGTTGACAGCTTTCTCAGAAATCTCACCCAGTGGCTTCTGTGTAGATCTCATTTGTTGTAATTGTGTCAAGTGGCTGCCGGCACTGTAAGAGGAGATGGGAAATGCAGTTTTTTTGCTGGGCATATTGCTACTCCAAAAAAATGAACATTGTGCTGGTAAAGAGAAAAAGGAGAATGGATACTGGCATCTACCACACTGTGGGATTTGGTAAATAGAAGGTCACTGGTGTGCAAAAGCTGGCAAGGAGTCCAAGTGGTTGATTACATCGGAAGTACACAGATTTTGATCAGTGTGGAAGATGTCCACCCTCAGAAAGCCAATGACATATAAATTAAAACAGTGAGAGATTTCACCTAGCATATTGAGAACAATTAAATTGTATTAAATATCGGTTACAGTGCAGCAGAAGAGGAATGGACTTCTGAAGTGAGTGTGAATGGATGGTTTAAGGAAAAATTTATACCTGGTAACCTAGACGTTCCCTGCTAGGGCTGTAGCCTTCTAAAGCCATCGAAGCTCTAGACAGAAGTGCATTTCACAGAAGCTTATTTATCATTATAGGATTATATATATAAGTTCTGTATACATTATATAATACATGCTTTCATATATGTAATAAAATACTGGAAACAATCAGTTTTCAGTGTACAAGGAATGATCAAATTGAAGTGCCTCTGCAGAATGGAATGCTGTCTGACAACTAAGAAGTTTATTTTTATGGTATATCCAAAGATACTCCAAAATGATCATCATGACTATTAAGGAAGAAAAACATTTTCAATTTTGAAAAAAATACGTAGTTGTTTTTAGAAAAATGATTGAAGAGAAAATGATTGGTGAAGGAAATACATCAGAAGATTGGCAGTTATTTTCAAGTGGTTGTAATTTGGACAACTTTAATTTTCTTTCTTTTTTATTTTTCTTTTTGAAAAAATTTTAAGAGAGACAGACAGATCTACCATCTGCTGGTTCTCTCCTCAAAGGCTGGACTAAAACCTGGAGCCAGAAACTTAATCCATGTCTGCCATGTGGATTAACCAATTAAGCTAATTCCACCCTTTGTAAATTTCTGATACTACAGCTCTCTTTATCAGTTTGAGCCATGATAGCAGCATACCCTAGACTGGATAGGTTGTAAACAACAGAAATTTAAATATTATAGTTCTAGAGGCTAGATGGTCCAAGATGAAGGCGCAGGCAAATTCTGTCGGGCAGGGGTTCACTTCCTGGTTAGCAGACAGCTGTCTTCTTGCAGTATCCTCCCGTGGTAGAAGGAAAGGGAGCAGTCTAGGACCTTTTTTATACAGGGTACTAATCCCATTCCTGAAGACTCTGCCTCGGCCCTGCCTCCTAGAGTGATTGTTTGGGGGGTTAGTGCTTTAACATAAGAATTTGAGAGAATAGAGAAACTTTCAGTTTATAGCAACAGACAATATTATTATTATTATTATTATTATTATTAAGATGTATTAATTTATTTGAAAGGCAAAGTTACAGAGAGAATGAGACAGAGAGAGGGCGAGATCTTCCATCTGCTGGTTCACTCACCAAATGGCTACAATGGCCAGGGCTGGGCCGATCTGAAGCCAGGAGCTTCATCCAGGTCTCCCATGTGGGTGCAGGCCCAAGGACTTGGGCCATTTTCCCCTGCTTTCCCAGGCACGTTAGCAGGGAGTGGGATTGGAAGTGGAGCAGCGGGGACATGAACCGGCACCCATATGGGATTCTGGCACCCCAGATACTCGCTGTGCCACAGTGCTGGCCTCCAGTATTATTTTTTTAATTGGGAAAAGACCGGTATTACTTTGAAAAAGCTTCCTAGGAAAATACAGATAATTTGCATTTACAGAAGGCAGTTAAAATGAAATATTGAGGCAGAGGATGTATTAAATGTGGTTGAGGAGAAATGAGAGATGAAAAAAATACAGGCAGCATTTTTGGGCCAAGCTTTTGAGAAATTTAAGAATAGATGTGGCCGGCGCCGCAGCTCAATAGGCTAATCCTCTGCCTGCGGCACCAGCACACTGGGTTCTAGTCCAGGTCAGGGCGCCGGATTCTGTCCAGGTTGCCCCTCTTCCAGGCCAGCTCTCTGCTGTGGCCCGGGAGTGCAGCGGAGGATGGCCCACGTGCTTGGGCCCTGCACCCCATGGGAGACCAGGAAAAGCACCTGGCTCCTGCCATCAGATCAGCACGATGCGCCGGCCGCAGCGCACCGGCCGTGGCCATTGGAGGGTGAACCAACGGCAAAAGGAAGACCTTTCTCTCTGTCTCTCTCTCGCTCACTGTCCACTCTGCCTGTAAAAACAAACAAACAAACAAACAAAAAAAACAGATACAGAAATCAGTAGCCCTAAAGATTATTGGGGGGGGGGGGAGCTGGTGCTGTGGCATAGTGGGTAAAGCTGCCACCTGCAGTGCTGTCATCCCATATGGGTGCCAGTTCATGTCCTGGCTGCTCCACTTCCAATCTAGCTCTCTGCTGTGGCCTGGGAAAGCAGTGGAAGATGGCCGAAGTCCTTGGGCCCCTGCACCTGTATGGGAGACCTGGAAGAAACTCCTCCTAGCTCTTGGCTTCAGACCAGCCTGGCTCCAGCTGTTGTGACCATTTGGGAAATGGACCAGGGGTTGGAAGACCTACCTACCTACCTACCTACCTACCCCTCCCTCTCCCTCTCCCTCTCCCTCTGCCTCTGCCTCTGCCTCTGCCTCTCCCTCTCCCTCTCCCTCTCCCTCTCCCTCTCCCTCTCCCTCTCCCTCTGCCTCTGCCTCTCCCTCTCCCTCTCCCTCTCCTTCTCCCTCTCCCCCCTCCTTGTCTTTTCTCTCTGCCTCTGCCTCTCTATAACTGCCTTTCAAATAAATAAATTTTAAAAAATTATTGGGATTATATCAAGGATGTTAGCAAATGATGAATTTTATGATTTGGGGAAACAGGCAGAAGAGAATGGCAATGTTAATGCAGCTGTGTTCTGGAAGGGGTGGGAAGAGATAGGGTCAAATGGGCCTTACACAGCCTTTCTGAAGTAGAGAAAAAAAGAAGTTTAAGGAGAAATGTTGCAAAGCCTAGAGTTTAAATCAGAGTACAGAAACAAAATTCTTTTTTGCTTCTTGGTGCTGCTAAGTGGTTCCCATTGTTGCCACATGATTTTGGAACCTGGCCTTTCCCTTCTTAAGCATTTTCCATACCTTAGAGATAACTAAGAACAAACTACAGAATGTTAAAAAGTATGGAATGGGCCGGCACCGCAGCTCACTTGGCTAATCCTCCGCCTGCGGCGCCAGCACCCTGGGTTCTAGTCCCTGTCGGGGCACCGGATTCTGTCCCGGTTGCTCCTCTTCCAGTCCAGCTCTCTGCTGTGGCCTGGGAGTGTAGTGAGTGGTTGGGACCTGCACCCGCGTGGGAGACCAGGAAGAAGCGCCTGGCTCCTGGTTTCGGATTGGCGCAGTGCTGGCCGTAGCGCCCATTAGGGGAGTGAACCAATGGAAGGAAGCCCTTTCTCTCTGTCTCTCTCACTGTCTATGCCTGTTAAAAAGAAAAAAAAAAGTATGGAATGATGGAAAGAATGCTGATGTAATGGACAAAAATCTAGATTTTGATTCCTCTACTGTTGCTTTTAATCTTTATGTTATTGGTTATGTTTTTTACAGTAGGCTTGCCTTAGGCAGAGTGAGACAGGGGATCTTTTTAATTCAGTTCTTTAAAATTTATAATATTGGCAATGCTCAAAACAGTAAAGAGAAATGTATAAAATCTATCAAAAATGTAAGAAAAAGAGTCTTCCAGACTTACTGTGCCAATTTGCTCCATTTCTTACGTATTCTTCACAGAAGTTTTCTAGGCAGAGAAGGTCATGCACTGCATAACATTTTGGTAAACAGTGGACTGTATTTATGGTAATGGTCTCATATGATTACACTGGACCTGTAAAGTTCCTGTCATCTAGTATTTTCCTATGTTTAAATATGTTTAATTACCCAAATACTTACCATTGTGTTGCAGTTGCATAAAGTATTGACTACAGTAAGATACTGTACAGGAGCAATGGGCTACGCCATATAGCAGATATAGTAGGGAACACCATCTAGGTTTGTATGCGTACCCTCTGTGATGTTTTCACCATGACAGAGTTACCCAGCACATTTTTTGGGACATAGCCATGTCAGAAGTTTTACCTGTCTGTACAGACACCTATATATATGTCTGTCCTGTAAAAAGTCCTCTGATTATTAACATCCTTTATACAGCACAGTTCTTCTTTCTAACATGGCTCTGACACAACATTTATGTTTTGTGTCTTTAACAGTAGATATTGGTATCCAGACTGGCAATAATTTGGCAAAGGCAACATGTGACAAGAAGGCTAGTACATCATTTGAGCTTCAGGATTTCTCCCAGGAAACAGACTTTTCAGAGGGGCATTTTCCAGAGAAACAACAGGAAGTCCACTCAGCAGGAAATATGAAGAAGGAAAACAGCAGTGTGATTGATGCAGCAGTGAAAGACGAGACAAACCCTGTGGCTGAATGTGTCTCTAATCAAAGCCCAAACTTGTATCTGTGTCATAACCTCACCACTGAAGAGCAGCCCCCTGAGTGTCCAGGATTGAAGAAAGCCTTCAGCTTTGACATACAGCTCATTAAACGTGAAACGATTAATATTGTGGAAAGACCTTTAAAATGTGAAAAATTAGTAGAAACTTTTAGGTGTGACTCTCAACTTAATCAGCATCAAGAGGACTACAGTGGGGAGAAAGCATTTCAGTGTACAGAGTGTGGCAAAGGCTTCAGTGTTAACGCAAAATTAATTTGGCATCAAAGACTTCATGGTGGGGAGAAACCCTTCAAATGTGTGGAGTGTGGGAAAAGTTTCAGCTACAGTTCCCATTATATAACACATCAGACGATCCACAGTGGGGAGAAGCCCTATCAGTGTAAGGTATGTGGAAAGGCCTTTAGCGTTAATGGGAGCCTGAGTAGGCACCAGAGGATCCATACAGGAGAGAAGCCCTATCAGTGCAAAGAGTGCGGAAATGGCTTTAGCTGTAGTTCTGCATATATTACACACCAGAGAGTCCACACTGGGGAGAAACCTTACGAGTGTAATGATTGTGGGAAAGCTTTCAATGTTAACGCAAAACTGACTCAGCATCAGAGAATCCACACTGGAGAGAAACCTCATGAATGCAGTGAGTGTGGAAAGGGCTTCAGGTGCAGCTCCCAGCTCAGGCAACATCAGAGCACCCACACCGGAGAGAAGCCGTATCCATGTAAAGAGTGTGGAAAAGCCTTCAGTAACAATGCCAAACTGATGCAGCATCAGAGAGTCCACACGGGGGAGAAGCCCTATGGGTGTACCGAATGTGGAAAAGCCTTCAATGTCAAAGGGAAGTTAGTCCAGCATCAGAGGATCCACACAGGAGAGAAGCCCTATGAGTGCCGTGAATGTGGGAAAGCCTTCAGGTGTAACTCCCAGCTTCGGCAGCATCAGAGAATCCACACTGGGGAGAAGCCCTATGAATGTAATGAGTGTGGAAAGGCCTTCAACGTTAATGCAAAACTAACCCAACATCAGAGGATTCACACTGGAGAGAAACCCTTTGGATGTAGTGAGTGTGGGAAGTGTTTTACTTCTAAAAGAAACTTACTTGATCACCACCGAATACACACTGGGGAGAAGCCTTACCAGTGTAAAGAGTGTGGGAAAGCCTTCAGTATCAATGCCAAATTAACCAGGCATCAGAGAATCCATACCGGTGAGAAGCCTTTCAAATGTGTGGAATGTGAGAAAGCATTCAGCTGTAGTTCTGACTATATTGTGCACCAGAGAATCCATACTGGGGAGAAGCCTTTCCAGTGTAAGGAGTGTGGGAAAGCCTTTCACGTCAATGCCCATTTAATCCGGCATCAGAGAAGCCACACCGGGGAGAAACCCTACAGATGTGTGGAATGTGGCAAAGGCTTCAGCTTCAGTTCTGACTGTCTTATACACCAGACTGTGCACACTTGGAAGAAGCCCTATTTATGTAATGTGTGTGGGAAAGCCTTCAGGTTTGGCTTCCAACTTAGTCAGCATCAGAGTGTACACAGTGAAGGAAAAGCCTAGCAGTGAGAAAGTTGCAGAAAGCTCCCAAGGTTAGTGCTGAAATGGATCAAGTACCATCAGATTCACTCTGGTGGGAAGCCCTGAGAGAAGTGAATGTGCTAGTCTTCCATGGGAACATTTTTGTTCTGTTTTATTAAATTTTTAATCAGAAATAGATCAGTTGTTACTTGTTTTATACCAACAACCAGTTAAAAATATAATGAAAGAAAATAGCCTATTCCCAGCAGCATCATGAGAAGTTGATTTTCTAGGAATGTGATGACATACAAGAATTATATGGAGAAAATTAGAAATCTTTACTGAAGGCCACCAAAGGAATCTTGAATAAATGGAGAGAGAAAGAGAGACACCTTACTCTAGGATCAGGAAATACATTTCAGAAAGATGTTCACTTTACATAAATTTATTTGTTTAATTTTTGATACCAAGCATGCATTACTTTTGTAAAGGGGAAAATAATAAAGATTTCCTTTAAAATAGAAACATGAGTAAATATTTTTATTTTCATGGAGTGGAGAAAACCTTCTAAGCATCAGATGAAGGCTAGAAACCAACCATAAGGAAAATACTGGTAAGTTACTGTTAAATAAATAAGTTACTGGTAAGTTACAGTTAAATAAATCTGGGCCGGTGCTGTGGCTCACTAGGCTAATCCTCCACCTGCAGTGCCAGCACCCCGGTTCTAGTCCCGGTTGGGGCGCCGGATTCTGTCCCGGCTGCTCGTCTTCCAGTCCTGCTCTCTGCTGTGGCCCGGGAGGGCAGTGGAGGATGGCCCAAGTGCTTGGGCCCTGCACCCACATGGGAGACCAGGAGAAGCACCTGGCTCCTGGCTTCGGATCGGCGGTTGCAGCCATTTGGGGGGTGAACCAATGGAAAAGGAAGACCTTTCTCTCTGTCTCTCTCTCACTGTCTAAATCTACCTGTCAAAAAAGGTTAAATAATTCTATTTTTGTTTTAAATAATCCTAAATAAGGTTAAAAAGTAAGGCACTAATAGTGTAAATGCCTTTGTGGTATATAAGTGTAATATCTCCTGTATAAAGAAGTTTTACCATTAAGAGGAAGATAAATAACCTGTTAATGACAAGGTTGCTTTGTAGAAGATCCAAAAATGACTGTTAAAGTTGGAAAAGTTCAGTCTGTATTACTATAAGAGAAAATTAGAATTTTTTACTCTAAGTATTACTCTAAAAGAAAATTAGTTGTTTTTTGTTTGTTTGTTTGTTTTTTTTTTGCATGTCACATCAGTGTATATTCATACATGGAGTGCTATGCAGTCCTGAAGAGTGACATTTACGGGGCCAGCACTGAGGCGCAGGATGTTAATCCTCCACCTGCAATGCTGGCATCCTGTATGGGTGATGGTTCTAGTCTGCTGTGGCCTGGGAAAGTAGTGAAAGATGTCCCAAGTCCTTGGGCCCCTGCACCCACGTGGGAGACCCAGAGGAAGTTCCTGGCTCCTGTCTTTGGATTGGCTCAGCTCCAGCCATGCAGCCATTTGGAAAGCGAACAAATGGATGGAAGACCTTTCTCTGTCCCTCTCACTGTGACTCGACTTCTCAAGTAAATAAATGAAAAAAAAATTTTTTAAAGTGATGTTTGCTATAGATGCTCTTAAAGTATGAAGTGCAGTCAGGATAGCATGTGAGGGTTTTGTAGGACTTAGAAATGTGTCTCTTGAGGTCTCAGGAAGATCTGCCTTGAATTCTGAGTCTGTGCTTTTCAATGATTCCATAAAAATCTTAGAGGTCTCAAGATACTCTTTAGAAGAAAATCTCTCGCCTACTTGAAAAATGATAAGCAATAAAAAGACCAGTCAGAATTCAAATTCAGGAAACTGAAGAATAGCAGGCATGAAAAAACGGAAAGGAAGCCAAGAAACACAGGGAGGCAAGAGAAGGCAGGAGGACTTCCCCATCCCACAGTGTGACAGGCCATCCCTGCCTGTGAGTTCTTGCAAGCTTCATGGGTCTGCTGCCCTCAGTACTCCTTGGCACTAAAAGCTTATCTGTTCTGAACAGTGCCCCAAAACTAGGAGTTTTCTGCATGTGGGAGAATTCAAATACCTGGACTGGGAGCATCTCTTCCTTTATTCTCACATTCCAGGTCTCTCTCTCTCTCTCTCTCTCTCTTTTAAGATTTATTTATTTGAAAGAGTTACAGAGAGAAGGACAGGCAGAGAGAGAGGGGTCTTCCATCCTTTGGTTCACTCCCCAATTTGGCTGCAACAGCTGGTGCTGTGCTAATGCAGAGCCAGGAGCTTCCTCCGGGTCTCCCACGTGGGTGCCGAGGCCCAAGGACTTGGGCCATCTACTGCTTTTGCAGGCCACAGCAGACAGCTGAATCGTAAGTGGAGCAGCTGGGACTCGAACCGGTGCCCACATAGGATGCTAGCACTGCAGGTGGCAGCTTTACCCCTACGCTACAGTGTGCTGGCCCCAAGTTGCTGCTTTTTGTAACAAATCATACAGCAAATATCTATCTTTGGACACTTGGTAGAGATGAATGTGTGTAGAAGTGTGCCATCACATTTTATGGGCATTAAAGGAAAACACTATACTAACCTCCCCAAATCAGTGTGTGGGTTTTTGCACAGATAATTTTCCAATTTTTTCTGGATACCAATTGGGTCTCCTACAATTCAGTTCTGAAACTACTGGGAAACAATGGTAGACCCCACAGGTGAAGGGCTCCATCTTGTAAGACTTCTGCCCCCCAACTTCAGATACTAGTCACAGAGGCTGGGGTCCACTTTCTGTCCTGTGGCCCCCTCCTCATCTTTGAGCGTTTTCTGTAACAGCTCATGGACCTCAGGGAAGCAGTTTACTAATACGGATTATTATAAAGGATACAAATGAGCAGCCAGATGAAGAGGTCCTTAGGAGTAGGTTCAGAAGGGTCTTAAGTGCAGGAGCTTTTGCTCTGTGAACTTGGGTGCCCCACCTTTCCAACCACCCCAGTGTTCTCATGGAAGCTCCATTACATAACCATGATGTAAGTCCCAAGCAGCTCAGTGCAGAGTTGGTTTTCTGGCAATCAGTCCCAATCTTGGACTTCTAGAGACTCCGTGTTAGCATAGACTCCCTTGTTGAAAAGGGGTTTTTAGAAATAGAAGAAGCTCCTTCTATACCTCTTAGTGGGGAAGATTCCAAGGATTTCAGAAGTTTTGATGCCAGAAACAGGACAAAAGCCAAATTATTCCTTCTACAACAGGCTGAGATCTACTTATTTGGTTCACATACGATTTTTTTTTTTCTTTTTTTGACAGGCAGAGTGGACAGTGAGAGAGAGAGAGAAAGATCTTCCTTTGCCGTTGGTTCACCCTCCAATGGCCGCTGCGGCCAGCGCGCTATGGCCGGCGCACCACGCTGATCTGAAGCTAGGAGCCAGGTGCTTTACTGGTCTCCCATGGGGTGCAGGACCCAAGCACTTGGGCCATCCTCCACTGCAGTCCCGGGCCACAGCAGAGGGCTGGCCTGGAAGAGGGGCAACTGGGACAGAATCCGGCGCCCTGACAGGGACTAGAACCTGGTGTGCCGGTACCACTAGGCGGAGGATTAGCCTATTGAGCCATGGTTGTTTTTTTTTTTTTTTTTTTTTTTTTTTTTTTTTTTTTTTTGACAGGCAGAGTGGACAGAGAGAGAGAGAGAGACAGAGAGAAACGTCTTCCTTTGCCGTTGGTTCACCCTCCAATGGTCGCTGCGGCCGGCACACCGCCGCGCTGATCCAATGGCAGGAGCCAGGTGCTTCTCCTGGTCTCCCATGGGGTGCAGGGCCCAAGCACTTGGGCCATCCTCCACTGCACTCCCTGGCCATAGCAGAGAGCTGGCCTGGAAGAGGGGCAACCGGGACTAGAACCCGGTGTGCTGGCGCCGCAAGGCGGAGGATTAGCCTAGTGAGCCGCAGCGCCGGCCGCCACATACGATTTTTAAAACCTACTTGCCTTGTTATTCAGAATGGTAGCTAAGATAAAATAATGATCCAGTAAAATATAAAAATCCAGGAACACAGACTTTAAAAGTTTGAGATTGAAAAGTACTGGTGTTTTTCTCCACTATAGCTGCATTTTTTTCTGAAATGCATTCATTTAAATATGTGTTGCACGATCAGCCTTTTAATGTGTACAACTCACTGACAGTACATTTGTGGTATGCAACTGAGATGGGGAGGCGGGGAGAGCAACTGAGCCACCTGGGGGTAGTTCCTGTTACCTCAGGAACTGCAGGGTACTGTGGGGAGCAACTGGGAGCAACTTGGATTATACTGTTACTGGAATTAAGACTTATTCTATACATCTGCTCTCCCACAATATGGCGCTGGGAGAGGAGCAAACAGCTTCTACCCAGCTGCCTCTCACCAACTTGACAAGCTGCAGGAGCTGCTCCTGATTGGAGGAGAGCAGCGTACTCGGTGTGTGGGTAGCAGAGTTGGGATTGGTGGAGAGGACTATAAAGGAGGAGAGAGACAACATGCACCAGGAACATCTAAGGGGAACATCTATCTGAAGGAACACCTGTGCAGCCCCTGAGAGAGCCGGCCGGCGGTGTGCCGCTCCCCCGCGGAAGTGGGGAAAGTGGCAGGGGGAACTGCCCTTCCACGGAGGTGGAAGGGTCGGTAGCCAACCCAGGAAGAACCAGCAGCAAACCCGGGGAGGGCCGAGCAGACAAAAGAACAGTGCAGGGTCCTGTGTCGTTCCTCCACGAAGACGGGGAGCGACAGGGTACAGTTTTGGTTCCTCTTGCTTTAGGGATAAACAGACTATCGTCGTCCCCCCCACCCAGGTTCATACCAAGTTGACACACTTCCCACGACACACCTACCAGCCACCATGATGTGTAACTGTTGGACCATTTAAGGATCAAAAAAGAGTGAGAGCCAGAGCCTGGGTACCACCTGGTGCATGCTCACTGTTTGGCACCACAACTGTTACCAGGATCTGGTTTCTGGAGCTTTTTAATCATCCCCAAAGGAAATCCCATACTCGCTATGCAGTCTTTCTCAATCCCCCCCCTCCACTTCCCAGCCCCTGGCAACCACTGAAATGCTTTTTGTCTGTATTGGTTTTCCCACTTGGAATATTTTATATTAATGGAAATATAGAATTTGTGAATTTTTATGATTGATTTCTTTCACCTAGTGTCATGATTTCGAGGAGTGTGCAGGTGGTAGCATGTGTCAGTGCCTCATTCCTGTTCATGACTGAGTAATAGTCTGTTTATGGAGAAGTCACATGCTGTGTATCCTTGCATCAGCAGATGGCATTTGGATCTTCAATTCTTTCCCAGACGTTTATTTATGAGTACAGTTCGTAGTACACTTAGATATAGCGATTCTTCCCACCGAACCCACCCTCCCACCCCCACTCCCACCTCACCTCCTCCTCCCTCTCCTATTCCCAGTCCCATTCTCCATTAAGATTCATTATCAATCAACTTTAAATACAGAAGACCAATTACATTTTGTCATTGCACTGCCTTCTGGCTT